TCGTTTCCCTTTGGGGTTGCTGTAGGTGATCTGGAAGTCTGTTTATGAGGCTTGTTTATGTGTCTTCTCATTTCCACGGGGTAGGGGCGTGCTTCTGGCTCCCAGGAGGCTCTCCTTCTGTGCCCTAGGAGCTTGGGATGGCAGCAGGGGAGCCTCCTTCCGGGTGCTGGAACTCGCTGAGCTTCTCTGCCCTAGGAGCCTGGGATGGAGGCAGGAGCTTCTTTCCAGGTGCTGGGACTGGCTGAGATTCACTGCCCTAGGAGCCTGGGATGGAGGTGGGGGAGCTTCCTTCTGGGTGCTGGGATTGGCTCACCTTGGCCCTAGGAGCCTGGCAACAAAATTCTTAACAGGTGAAATACTAATATTGAACATTATTTTCTTTGTATCACATCATTGTGGCTTGAAATTTAACATAAAAATGAAACCTCAAGTAAATCCCTAAAACTAAGAATTTTAATTTCTTCTTTATCATCTTTGCTCTTACAAATGAGCAGTGAACAGAAAGATGGGTCAAGGAAGTGATAAGAGATGGTAAGAAATCTATACTACTTAGATTGTATAATAGCTGTACTTTATTTTAGCCAGATGACTTCTGAATTCCAAGATGAAGGAAGTTAGATCTGTGTACATTAACATAACAAGTTTTTTGTATGTCTTTTTGAGTATATTGTTCCTTAGCTAAATAACTTTTTGAAGTTCTTAATAGCCTGGTTAGCTAATGGTTCCACACTTACCTGAAGTGTTTTAGTATTTGTGTGTGTGTGTGTGTGTGTGTGTGTGTTTCTGGGAATTGAACCTAGAACCTTGTGCATGCTAGACAAGTACTGTAACAGAACTGCAATCTCAGCCTCTTTTCTCTTTTTAAAAATTTCTTTTGAGACAAAGTCTTCTGAGTTTAAGTAACTACTTTTAACTATTTTAGATCCAGGAAGGTTCCAAGACAATTGGAGGATTTCAGATGGCTTTGTAGCAGCTGAGGCAAAAACTATTCTTCCTCATCGTGCCAGATCCAGGTAGAATTTAAATTTAAAATTGTTCCAATTTATTATCATTACTGTTTTTTATGTTAGTCTGTGTAGTACGTGTGAAATACTATTTAAATTGTTCTGTGCTGTGTTTATTTCTAGGCCAGACCTCATGGATAATTATTTGGCACTGATACTATCTGCATTTATTCGTAATGGACTTTTGGAAGTAAGAGTTATAAACTATATTCTATTTTATTTTGACTTTCTCTAACAAAATTTTTTAACATCTGAGCATAAATATGTTCATATATATTATTTTGCAACACAGTGTTATGTTTATTTTCATAGGGTTTGGTTGAAGTGATAACAAACAGTGATGACCATATTTCAGTTAGAGCTACCATCCTTTTAGGAGAGCTTTTACATATGGTAAGTTTAGCAACTTCTAATTATATATTTCATAATTTTAATTTATAAAATGGGTTAATAGTGTTGCTTTATTTCAACTCAAAAAGTAAATTAGCATTTTAAATGAATGTTTATCCTTGCATTGCAAAACGCCTTTAATTCCTATATCCTCATATAGATAGATAGATAGATAGGTAGATAGATCTCAATCACATCTGCTTTATAAGTAGAACAAATACAGAAAATACAAAGTGCTGAATGTTGATGTTTACACTCACTTTCGATGTGGATATTTCAGTCCTATAAATATTGATTTGCAGAAAGACTTCCTACCTAAAAAGCAAGAAATCCAAATCGTAAAATGAGATACTAATCAGTCAGCTAAGAATGTAATTCTGTAATACAGAATCAGTACATTGTAGTCCCTGGCTGAATTTTACTTTTTTTTTATTATTATTTTTTTTTGGTACCTGGGATCGAACTCCAGTCCTTGAGCTTGCGACGCAGGCGGTGGAACCACTGAGCTAAATCCCCAGCCCTACTGGCTGAATTTTAGAAAACTTTGTGCAAAAATTCTAAATATAACTGTCTTGTTTGAACATCATTGTTTTCTGTAAACTTGTAGAGAATGAGAATCCTTTTCGGACTTTTGAATTGGCACTGTAATTTTATGAAATTAATAATTTGGGGGAACTAGGAGAAAGAAGAGCCATCTAATCATTCTCTACATTTAGCAGTTCAAGCAAGGAAGCAATTCTGCTAGTTTGCATTATAGAGATTTTCTATTTCTAGGTCACTTATAGATTAGCAAAAGAATAAATAGAACCACTTTAAACTCATTAAGAAGAGATTCTTCTTTTTTTTTTTTTTGGTACCGGGGATTGAATTTGGGTCCCTATGCTTGGGCAGCAGGTAGTGAAACCACTGAGCTAAATCCCCGGCCAGTAAGAAGTGATTCTATGGCAAATCTTTTAAAACTATGTTATGAGTTGCTATTCTTAGAGTATTTTTGTTTTTGTTTTTGTTGTTTCTGTTACTTCCTCTCCTCTTTCTTCCTCCACCTCCCCCAGTGCTTACCTGTCAGTTGCTGGGCTATGTATATGAGTGAAGTAAATAAGTGAAGTTTAATGTTAACTATTTTTATCAATAAATTATTCAGCCAGTTTCTCTGTTCCCTTTCAATCAACTCTTGAAGAGAATTAAATAGCATTGCAGGCTCTCAGTTCTGATTATATTTGTATTTAAATTTTCTACGACGTTTTCTGTAAGGACATCAATATACAAAATTAATTGTTTTATAGGAGAGAATCATTTTCATAAATTTATTCTCTTTCCTGTTCTATACACCAGAATTCTATGATTCCCTTAATGTATAAAATCTGATCATTTTCAAGTAAAGTGGTGCTAGTTCATTGCTTAGTATAGCTTCTCTTTTCCACATGTGATTAATTTACCTATTCTTATTAGTTGATAGCAAGTTTGGTATTGAGATTTTCTTTATAAAGCAGAAGTTAGTAAGTTTTTAAAGACTGTTGGTATCTGAGACAAACCTATGCTGAGGAAGTGGTGTTTAAAATTTAAGTCAATTCTAAGTTTTGATACCGTAGCATTTTAATAAGAATTGAGTTTTATTTGAATAGCGCTTAAAAATCATAATTTTAATACTATAATAAAAGATCTGTAAAAATTAGAGGTTTAAAATTTGTATTTATATGCTTATATTTGTTACATCTCATGCATATTGAAAATAGATAAAATTATAAGTATGTATGCCTTGTGGAAAATAAGTGAATTTCAGGAAAATCCTTAAGAGTTTCTAATGGTCTTAATTACAATATTACATTCACAGATAATCTATAATGTAAACTATTTCTATTTTCAAAAACTCATAAAATGTTAACATTTTATTTTAGGCAAATACAATTCTTCCTCATTCACATAGCCATCATTTGCACTGCTTGCCAACCCTAATGAATATGGCTGCATCTTTTGATATCCCAAAGGAAAAGAGACTGTAAGTATCAGAAAGATCCAGGAAAGGTTATGTTTAGTATATTTAATGTCCATTTAGATTACTTTTTCACTTCTTTTTTAAAAGAAGTATGGATAGGTTTTGCTTGTAAAGTCTTTTAGGTAAGTTTTATAGGTAAGAGGAAAAATTAGTAATTCTCAAAATATTTCATGATTTATATTCAATAGTGGAGTATAATCACTTTTACTTTTGTGTGTTTGGTCAAGGATGTAGACTTTTTACCGTATTTCTAACAATGCTGGTTGAGAGTTTTGGGGTTTATTTTATATTCTGAGAAGCAATTTAAACCCTTTTAAAAATAATCCATGAATTAATTTCAAATTTTCAAAAGCGAAAGACTACCAGTGTATTTTCATTTGTGCGGTTAAAAAAAGTTGGTACTTAATAACCCATACTATAGGCATAGCCATAAGTTGAATTCTTAAAACTGAAGGAGGTATACCACACATTTATAAGCAAGTAGATTTATAAGGAAAAATAAGGCAGTATAATAGTGGCACTACTAGAATTTCATTGCTAGTAAGAATAAACTATATAAAAGGGAAGGGAGCTAAATGGGAAGTGATAGTAGGAGTGTGTGTGTGTGTAGACTGGGGATTGAAGCCTGGGTCTTCATACTGAACTATACCCAGCTCTTTGTATTTTGAGGCAGGGCCTTCCTAAGTCACAAAGTCTCCCAGGCTGGGCTTGAACTTGCCATCCTCCTGCCTCAGTCTCAGCTGAGAAACAGTTACATGCCACCACATGTGGCTTTTTTGTTTTGGGGTTTTTTTTGCTGTTATAGTGAGAAAAATCTATATATGTGGACCACTTCTTTTTTTTCTTTGATAATATTAACAAAATGCAGTTTATTAACTATCAGAACTATGGATTTTTGTTAGCAATTATAATACACTCTTCAGAAGTTTAGCTTTAATATGAACTACATGAGCTTTACTATAAATAAATAGTGGTCTATTATTTTGGTTCTGTCAGTGAAAATACTGTTATTTAATAGGCTACAGTTGTATTATAAACTGAGTGCATTAGAGACCATCTCTGTTATGACTCTGGGCTGACATCTGTAGTAGCCTTCAGCGTTTATACTAGAAGTTTCATGATAGAGAAATGTCTTTCTCAAAACCTGGTAGACCAGACCTCTGGGTCAAATTATGGGCACCAATTTCTGAGTTTATTGAGAATTCATTCACATTCAAAGTAACAGTCCTGACACTCTCCTTAAAACAGTTTTTTTTTTTTTTTAGCTCAATAAGCTTCTTTGCTGATATATTAAATACTTGCCAATCTCAGTAGATCTCAAAGTTTTAAATTCTTTTTACCAGAATTGATTGCTGCCAAATTTTTTAAGGTATCATTTATAGTTACAGATTATGCCGAAAATAGACTGTTCAATTGATCTTATGGGTGAACAATGAAATTATATTGTAGCCTCATACCATGAACAAAAATTAGTCCCAGTGTACTAAGATTTCCATATGAAAAGCAAAGCTCTAAATATTTATTTATTTATTTGTTTGTTTGTTTGTTTATTTATTTATTTATTTATTGGTACCATGGATTACACTCAGGACCTTGCGCTTGCAGGCAGCAGCACCACTGAGCTAAATCCCCAGCTCTTTAAATATTTTATAGGAAAAAAAAAAAGCTAGATTTTTGACCTTGTGAAAGGAATTCTTAAAGCCAGTATACAGAAAAGACCAAGGAAAGATTACTATAATTGATGTTTTAGTCTGAATAATCAATGTTTCTTCATGGAAATCAGTACTTTGATTTTTTTTCTTTTGTGTTTTCGGGGTTCACAAAATATTTCACTTTTTTTTAGTAAAAATCTCTGTCCTTGAATTTATCTAAACTTTAAATAACTTAGCAAAATGTTCACTTCAAAATTATTTTTTCTTACTAGTCGAGCCAGTGCAGCACTGAACTGTTTAAAACGCTTCCATGAAATGAAGAAACGAGGACCTAAGCCTTACAGCCTTCATTTAGATCACATTATTCAGAAAGCAGTTGCCACACATCAGAAACGGGATCAGTACCTTCGAGTTCAGAAAGATATATTTGTTCTTAAGGTACTAACATGAAAATCATGATTTTTAATTTATACAGTTTCCTAATTCTTAACCACTGGATTTTATATACATGTACTTGTTTGAGTTTTGTAGCTTTATTCTTGCATATGGATTTTTACTTAGCTTTTTAGATATGTAATGACTAGACAATTTAGAGCTGAGTTTTTGTAATGGTAAAATTTAAAAATTTTAATGATCTATCTGTAAGTGAAAACAACTTCCTTCTGTTTTTAAAATTTGAGCTTAGTTTTCTGATGTGAGGATAGTTTGCCTTAATTGTCCATATTACTTTCTGGTGTTTTTTTTTTAGGATACAGAGGAAGCTCTTTTAATGAACCTTAGGGATAGCCAAGTCCTTCAACATAAAGAAAATCTTGAGTGGAATTGGAATCTTATAGGGACCATTCTTAAGGTATGACAAAATACTTCATGGTGACAGCTTCTCTTCACATTATTATTATGATTTATTACAGTTATATGCTTGGGAGTTGATAAATACATATGTAATGTAATATATTTTGTTATTCCAGTGGCCAAATGTAAATCTAAGAAACTATAAAGATGAACAGTTGCACAGGTATGTAAAAGTTACTGTGTATTTAAATTTAAAGAATTTAAATTTGGATTATCATATCTTATGCCTACTAAAAATAATAACTGATGTTTTAGTGATTAAAAACATACATTCAGTTTAAGAGCATTCAGTAGATACAAACATTTTTATATATCTTTATGTGTGTACATACATTTTTCTGTGTCAAAACCCATCAGCTAATTCTTTTTCTAGTTAATTGTAATCTGCTTTTAGTTTTGTATCAGATGAAGTCACAGAAATAAATGTTTCTTAAATTAAGATAATATCAACTGTGTAATGGACTAACCTTAACCATAAGAGGATGACATAGTAAGAAACTATATTTTTAATATGTAACTTTGACTTTCACTCATATCTAACTTTGGAAAGTTAACCATTCTTCTTAACAATCTCCTTAACACATTGTCTACAAAACATACTAATGTTCAGGAGCATATAGACCACTTCAAGCTACTGTGTTGTTCTCTACTACACCCATGTGTTTTTACTCCTTAGGTTCAGCTAACCAACTAGCAGTACTGAATTCATTGGATAAGAGAGCCTTTCTTTATATTTGAGACATTTGTGTGATTAAAATTATTTTGATTATACTCAACTCTTCATGATATGTAACTTAATATCAAGTTTTAAGAAATATACAAACCTTGTAAATTACACTAAAATAATAGCATATTCTGACTTTTCATACTCCCTGAGAACAGAGATGATACCTTTTTCAAATTTGTTTTCCTAATACCTGAACCTAACTGCCTGTATTTGGATTAGATTATAGTACTAATTATGTTCTATAGTATTCATTATGAAATTAAATTGAACTAAATTCATTGGAAGCTTAGAACACATTATAATAAATTATGTCCATAAAATTCAATTGCCTAAATTTACATTCTGTTTATTCAACTTTACATTCTAGTTGTGGAGTGTTGTGTCTTCATTTTTCCTACTGCCCTCTTTCTGCCCTACTTTTTCTTTTAAGCATCTAACTATAAAATTCTTATTCCATATGTTCTTTACAATTAAGTTTTTTTCTTTTTCCTTTTTCTCTTTGTGTGTGTGTGTGAGATGTACCATATGTGTTACTGAATTTCTTACCACCTCCTCCAGATGTTTCAGATCCAGAACATATTCAAAGCCTTATTATGTCATAACCTGTGGATAAGATTTTAAAATAATTGGTGTCTTATATTGTTAATTTATTTTGATAATAGATTTGTACGAAGACTTCTTTATTTTTACAAGCCCAGCAGTAAATTATATGCCAACCTGGATCTGGATTTTGCCAAGTCTAAGCAGCTCACAGTTGTTGGTTGCCAGTTTACCGAATTTCTTCTTGAGTCTGAAGAGGTAAGCACTAAATATTTTCAAAGCAAATTTTTTTAATTAAATGTCTTCCTTCTCCTCCCTCTGTTACCACCATCTGTTTTGTTTTCATTTCTGAGTAGGCTTAGGGTGTATTTGGAAACATAGGAAATGAACCCAAACCTAGATGTGAATCCTGAGTGGCTAGTTATGATACTTTGGGCAAATTGCCTGCCCTCAAGAAAATCTGGTTTACCCTTCTGTGAAATGGAGAATAAGACCATCTCTAGGTAGCATTGTATTGAGTAAGATTAAAAACAGCAGGTACTCAGTGACTGATACTTGTTATCAGTAATTCTATTCCTTTTTTTTGTACCTGATTAAAGTTGATTTTTCTAATTACAGGATGGGCAAGGATACTTAGAAGATCTAGTAAAGGATATTGTTCAGTGGCTCAATGCCTCCTCTGGAATGAAACCTGAAAGAAGTCTTCAAAATAATGGTTTATTGACTACTCTTAGTCAACACTACTTTTTATTTATTGGAACACTTTCTTGCCACCCTCGTGGAGTCAAAATGCTGGAAAAATGTAGTGTCTTTCAGTGGTAAGCATCCCTAGATTCTGTTAAAATATATACTTAAACTTTATTTTTCAGTGTGGTTGGTTAATATGTTATGCTTTTTAGTCTGTGGATATCTGTTGCTAAATTTTATTTTTGAAAAAGTTAAAGTTGTCTTCATGTTTGATACTTTTTTATTTTTTGTCATTAAATTCTTTCAGAAATGTTTGTTTATATTAGGAATTTTTAAATATTTGTTAAAATGTTTTTCATATACCCACTCTACCATCTGCACACACACAAAATGGTAACTGTGGGTGGTGATAGATGTGTAAATTAATTTCATTGTGGTAGTCATTTCTGAAAATATACTTTAATCAGTTTATCTTGTTGCCAACCTTGAATATATAACACTTGTGAATTATATCTCAATAATGCTGGAAAAAATGATTTGTTGGACTAATGATAATCAGTGCAGTAATTTCTAATAGCCTTCATTTATTTATTTTTTTTAAGTCTCCTTAATCTTTGCTCATTGAAAAACCAAGATCACTTGCTAAAACTGACTGTTTCTAGCTTGGACTATAGCAGAGATGGATTAGCTAGAGTCATTCTTTCAAAAATCCTAACAGCAGCTACTGATGTGAGTATCACATAGGAAATAAAACTGTAATTTTGTTACCAATTAATCTAATACTTTGTAAAATTTTAGGCTAAGTAAAATTATAAATTTTTAGAATATGGGATGGAAATTGGACTTTAAAAATTTTACTTTCTATTCTCCATATGGTATTTATTTATGTCAAGACAGTGAAGCTATTGGATGGAAAATATTTTATTTTACTAGTACTAAATAAATATTTATATCAAAGGATAGACCCTCAATTTCAATTCTTCTATCCCTTTCAAGTACCAGAAGTTTCCCAAAACAAATTAAAACAGACTATCCATGGTGAAGTGAGGTTTTTTTGTTACTATTTTTTGGGTATTTTTGTTTTTTGATTTTTTAATATATTCATTTATCTTTATAGGCCTGCAGGCTGTATGCGACAAAACATTTAAGGGTATTGTTGAGAGCTAATGTTGAATTCTTTAATAATTGGGGAATTGAGTTACTAGTGACTCAACTGCATGATAAAAACAAAACAGTTTCTTCGGAAGCTCTGGATATTCTTGATGAAGCTTGTGAAGATAAGGTATACTTCCTTTTTTAAACGAAATACTTAGTGATGAATTTTTATTAAAATATTCACTTCTAATTGATGATTACATGAAACTAATGTATATAGTATAGGCAATTTGGAAAAAGGAATGTATTTGTGCAGTTTTTAATTAGTCTAATAATTATTTCTTTTAGGCCAATCTTCATGCTCTTATTCAGATGAAGCCAGCTTTATCTCATCTTGGAGACAAGGGTTTGCTTCTTCTCCTGAGGTAAATTCTAAGTAAACTTTCTCCTGGGTATGATTTCTGTTGTGTTCTTTCTGTTGTCTATGTTAAAGCTGGGTTCAGAGCTGAATAAGAAGCACTCTGCAAGAGTGTACCTTTGAACTTCTGAAATAGGACTATTTTTCTTTAACTTTTTTTTTTTTGGTGCGTATTTGCAGTTGATAACATTCCTCATGGGGAGTTGCTACATGTATGTAACACATCATCATTCTTATTTTCATCCCCTTCCCCTCTCTTCTCTCTTCCGTCTCTCCATTTCTTGGTCTTCTTCCCTTTTGCAAAAGAGCTATCTCCCTGTTTTCTATTATCTGTCTTTTATTTTGCTCTTTATATTTTTAGTTTCTCATATAAGAGAAACCATCTGATATTAGACCCCCCCCCAAGATAAAGACTCAGGTAAAATATGGGCAACAGAAATGAATAAGCAAGTCTCAGGAGAAGTACAAATAGCCAATAAATACATGAAAAATGTTCAACATCTCTAGCCATTCGAGAAATGTAGATTAAAACAACAGTGAGATTCTGCTTTACTCCAGAAAGAATGGCTGTCATCAAGAAATGAAAATAACAAGTTCTAGCAGGGTTGTGGGGAAAAAGAAACTTTTCTGCATTGTCGGTGGGAATGTAAACTAGTGCAGTCACTGGAAATCAGTATGGTGATTCCTTTAAAAAGTAAACATAGAAATTCCACTTGACAGTTATTCCCCTTCTAGGTATCTTCCATGAGGAGTTAAAGACATATTACAGTGATACATGCATACACTCATGTTTCTAGCAGCACAACTCATAATAGCTAAATATTGGAAGAAGACTCTTATGTCCATCAGCAGATGAAAGGATAAAGAAAATGTGACATTTATATACAATGGAATATTGCTCTGCCATAAAGAAGGATAAATTGGAGTCATTTGTAGGAAATTGGATGTACCTCGAGGACTATTTTAGAATCTTTGACATCTTTTTAATACAGAAATTGTTCACTCTTTTTCTTAATGTGGGTTATTTTTTATTTCTTTGTTTCATGCTTTCTGTGGTGTATTATTGTCATTGGTTTATGAGTTTGAAAGAAAGATTGTAGAAATTTATAATTGTAATTTGATGAATCATAGATGATCTTTTCATTTTATTTATTTATTTTTTTGGTACTGGGGATCAAACTTGGGACCTTGCGCTTGCGAAGCAGGCGGTGGAACCACTGAGCTAAATCCCCAGCGCAGATCTTTTCATTTTAAAGGGGAACTATTCCTAAAGTCTTTTAGCTCCATGAGCTTATTTTGTCTTTATTTTAGCTGTTTAAACATTTTTTGTTGGACTTCATGTTAAACTGTGGTGTGTTTTAATTTACAGATTTCTCTCCATTCCGAAAGGATTTTCCTACCTGAATGAAAGAGGTTATGTGGCAAAACAGCTGGAAAAGTGGCACAAGGTAACTTCCTATTGAATAAGGTTTAATTTATATGTTTTTATCTTGGTAAATAGAATTGAAAATTTAATTTTCTCTCATAGATGTTTTAAAACTAATGAGATTAATTTAAACATTCATATTGTCAAGTCTTAAATTCTATATAATTTTCTATAGTATTTGTATTTATCCATTATTTAAAACTATAGCTATTTCTCCTATAGGGAACTGTTAACTTTGTGTATAGAAATTTTGCTTTACAAGTAAACTCATTTTGTATTCTACTAGTGAAATTTATTGTTACCATTACTTCTTTTAATCTTGGATCCCATATATACTATATAGACTCCAACTTTGCGTCACCCTTTTATGCTAAAACTAAATGTTTTAAATGAAGGAAGATTGAAAACAGTTGTGCTTAAGCAGGTATAATTATCTAATTAAGCTTTATTTTAGCATGCTACTTTATATAAATCTCTGAACAAACTTGCTGTCATAGTAGGAAAACCTAAGCAAAGAGTAGTTTGAAGGTAATAGACAACTTCTTAGCTTTCCTTTAGCTTGTTGTACTTGTAGCTTCATTATTTTTAAATTGTCAAGGCATCTTGGAAACCCGTGGTCAGAATGATGGTATATCAGTATAAATGATTTTTAGATTTCCATCATTTGAGATCTTTTTTTTATCTTTCTTGTCCTTCGTTTAGTTATAACTTATTTATATTGTCTATATTAAACTATATTTCATTAGAGATTCTTATTACATAAACTAAAACTTCAAAGCATGCAATTTCAGCCATGAATCCTTTCAATAATTAATGATTCTGCATTAGGGAATACCAAAAGAAATGGACAGGCTCAGTGAAGGATTAATATTTGAAATAGTCTCAAGGAGTAAGTAGGCAAGTAAATTGTGAAAATAGTATTCCAGGAGGGAAGAATAGAAGAAATCTGTATGGGTCATTGAAACTTTATAGTTTTTTAGAGAAAGCCACATTCTAGGGGCAGCACAAAGTGGAGAATGGCAACATGGTTCTAGAATGGTAAATTAGAGCTAGGCAGTAGAAGTATCTGCAAGCCACAATATATCATATTAAGGGATTCAGTTTTACAACATTAATGACTATCATACTGAGTGATGTGGAATTTTATATATATCACAGTGAGAACTGTTGCTTTAGAAATGTGACAGGCTGCCATGTAGGAGTGGCAGTGTGATCATCAAAGGAAAAATACAGGAATATTGACACTGGTTTATAAGCCAGAGTTGATGAAGGCCTGAACTTCAGTGATCATGAGGATGGATAGGCAAGGAACCACTTTCTAGGCATTTTTTTTTAAATGGACAAAATTAAAATTTGTAAACTGAAGCCACAGGTCATGCCTTACACCTCTAATCTCAGCATTTTGGAAGGCTGAGCCAGCAGGATCACAAGTTTGAGTTCAGCCTAGGCATTTTAGCGAGACCCTGTCTCAAAATAAAAGTAAAAATGGGCAGGTCATACAGTTCAGTGTGAAGGCCCTGGGTTCAATCCCCAGTGCAGTTAAAAAAAAAGAAATTGTGAACTGATTCTATACAGCGAATGAGGGTTCCAACCTGACTTAGAAGGTTTCTGATTTAATAACTGAATATATAATGGGTTATCCTTAAGAGATGATTACAAAAGTGATTTGCAGCATGAGGTTAATGAATTTGGGTTCTTGAACTATGTTGGCTATAAGATGACCAAGTAATGGTATACAAGAAATATGAGGAAATATAGCTCTAGAGTTGAAGTATGTGTGGAGGGTGGCAATCATACGGTAGTAGTTGAGACCTGAAGTGAACAAGGTCACTAAAGAAAATGTCAAGAACACAAAAAAGAGATGACAGAAAATTTTTCCTTGGAACACCCTGGATTAATAAGGGAAAGAAAAGGACAAGGACAGTGAGGGAAAAAATTATCAGTATTCTGTTACTAAAGGATGATTGAGGAAGAAGAGGTCAATGCGGTCACAAAAGATGAACACTGGAAAAGAGGCAGTTAAACTGGATTATTAAGTCACTTGTGAATTTTACTAGATTGGTTTTAGCAAAAAGTTGCAAAGATGTGAATTGTAGTTACAGGTAGTGAGGTGTAAAAATATAAACACTATAGTAACTCTGATTAGAGAAAGGGAAAGGAATTTATCTCTGATTAGAGAAAGGGAAAGGAATTTATTGATTGCTTACCATTGGACTTAAGTGCTTTTCAAGTATTATTCCATTTATTCCTCGGAGCACTCCTATAAAATATATTATTTCTTGTTTGTAAATGAAAATGTTGAGAAGAATAACCTAACTGATCCTAGGTCACAGAGTTTGAAAAATAGCAGAACAGAGTCACTAACCAAATTCTTTATGAACCCAAAGGCCATCTTCTTTTCTCTACTTTAAATTTCCTTCATTAGCTTCCAGAAGCTATGCCAAGAAGTAGGTAGAATGTTTAAATCATATTTTTGTTTGAAGGAGGAAGGAGGTGAGAATGTATTTTGAGCAAGGGGAAAGACCAGAGGTTAAAGAGACCAACAATAGGAGAGGGAGATAGTTGGTGAAATGGATCCCTGGCAAGGGAGAGGATGGAGCTGGGACACAGATGAAGAGATGAGTCTGTTAAGACATAAAGACAGCTCTTCCCCTGAGAAAGGTAGAAGATCCCACAGAGGACTGCAAGTCAGTTTGAAGATGAGGGAAGAAACTTCCCTTTTATCACCTGTCTTTTAGCTCATCTTTCATAGAGCTGACTTTAGATATCTGAAATTCTTAGGCTGTTAGAGTGGGCTGAAATGATACTGGTACTCTCAGCCACCCTTACAAGGTTCCTGTAGATGCTGATGTGACTGCAATAATAGAGTGTCTAAGACTGATTGTCTTCTTTTTCTACAGTTCAGAGGAACCCACTTCAAAGTATTTTCTGTCAGATTGATCAGTTCCAAATTTTTTGGTTAAATGCAAATATCTCTCTTCCTGCAGTTTACTATTAAGTATTTTGAGATAGTTTATATCTAAGATTGATATTAAATCAGAGTTGTACAAACTGACCTCCAGGGCTAGTACAGTATACCACCGTATTTTGTGTTACTTGGTAAGCAGTTTTTGAATTTTAAAATGATTTAGGGGAAAAAAAAAAAAAGAAAAATATTTTGTAACATGATAAAATTTATATTTCAGTTTTCATAAAGTTTGGTTGAAACACAAACACTTCATTTATTTCTCTGGCTATTTTCTTTTTAAAATGGCAAAGTTAAATAGAGGTAACAGGCATATGACCTGATATTCTCTGCGGCCTTTTATAGAAAAACTTTACCTATTCCAGATATAAATAGTGATTTTTGAGGAGAGAGATTTATAATAAATACATTACCAAATACTTCATGACTCAAAACATTGTAGATAATCATTGTTGACACCTTCACAATTATGATGGTGATTGGGTATTACCTCTCATGTTTACATCATTAACTCTTGTTCATTATGACTGTAGTAGTTGTATTGTTTTGGAAAACATTTTATTTTATATTTACTTTTTTAATTCTTTGGTATTTTCACTGTCTCTAACTGTATTTGGAAGAAATTGAACTCTGAAGCATAAAGAAGTGCTCTTCTGTTTCACTGCTGTGTCTGTCAGCTGTTCTCTGTAATTGTTCCTCCCTGATCCTGAATGAAATGTTGAGCAAATCTCTTAGCTCTTCTTATCAGTTAGCAAACAATTTGTTTTTCAAGGTAATAAAACATCGAGGCCAGCATAATATAAAATCCCACTCATTCTGTTTAACACCACTGTCACTAAACACAGGCCTAATGTAGACTTAGAAACTGCAGTGGAGGAGGTTAGGTTTCATCACCTTGGTGCTCATCTTCCTTCATGGGGTAGGAAGAGAAAGGAGTAAGGGATCAGGAATAATAGTCTTGCTCATTTGCTACAAATGTTATGTCAGGTTTTTAGGTCTGAGTGTATCAAGTTTCTTATGTTGAGTTTTTGACTTGAAGGCTACTTACTTTCTTAGGGTCAAAGACCTCACTCACATCTAGTTATGTCTCATTTACAGTCCCTTCATGAGGGCAGTGGCTCTTCTGACTGCCTGCTTACAATTCTGCTGATAGCTAGAGGTTGATCCTCAGTTGCAGGGATATGGGGGGTTTCCTTGCCTCTCCAGATGAATCATTTTGGGGAGAATTTTCAAGATTCTCCTTATCAGAAACTCAACCCATTTCATAGCCATAAACCATACCCCCAACTTTTTTTTCCTCTAAATGCTACTGGCTGAAAGATTAACCTGGTATAACACATGAATGTAACTAATCCTGAAAATTACATGTAATTTTATATGCCTTAATTAGATTTTTGTATTGAGATTTTCATATACAGAGAAAAATATTGTGATAATATTTCACTCAAACCTCATTATATAAATATAAAACTTAAAAAATAGAAAAAAACTTCTAAATACTGTATAAGTTGAGTGTTAATTCACCAAATTGGAGCAGTCTAAATGGTTTAAAATGAAAAGCCAGCCAGGAGTTGTGATGCATGCTTACAATTCCAGCACTCGGGAGGCCGAGGCAGAAGGATTGTAATTTGCAGTCTAGCCTGAACAACTTACCAATTTAGTGAAACTCTGTCTCAAAAAATAAAAAGGCCTGGAGGTGCTGCTCAATGCACCAGTCCCTGGGTTCATTTCCCAGTAATGCAAAAAAAAAAAAAAAGAGAGAGAAAGAAAGGAGACAGAGTAGGTATCTCTCTAACCCCTTACTCTGTCATTTCTGAAGGTAATGTCTGTTAAACAGTTTCTTTTTATTCAGCTAGATATTATATACATCTGTAAAAATATGTTCTTTATTTAAAAGCATAGATGGATTGGGCCAGGGATTTAGCTCAGTGGTTCCACCGCCTGCCTCGCAAACGCAGGGTCCTGAGTTCAATCCTCGTAACCAAAAAAAAAAAAAGTGTAAATGGATTAACTCAGTGTACAAATATAGATAGAACTCAATTTAAATATTTTCATTAAGCAATGTATCTAATAAAGATTTTGAGTGCAATACATTATATTTACCTCATTCTTTGTAATATCCTCATAATATCATCAGTCCTATATTGGTGAACTTTCAGATTGTACCCAACTTTTTAGTTTTTTAAACAATGTTCATTGATTATTCTTCCATATATATTATTGCATGCTTATGGAAGTATAGTTATTGGATAAATTTCCAGAAGTATAATTGATAGGCAAAAAGTATATTGGAATTTAAATTTCTAATAAGTACTATCAAATTGCTTCCCAAAGAGTTTCCAGCAATTCTTTCTTGTAATTTCAAGTGGAGAACTTTCATAATTAAGATGACAGTATGATTGACTCAGTTTAAAGTATTTAACTAGAAGTTTTTAGATGTTATATTTTTTTTTTCTTTGACCTTATATAAATCAGCAGGGAAGGATGTCTTACTGAAAAGTGCTAAAATGATAGAATTCACTTAATTTGCATTTTAAAATTTCTAGAGCATATCTTCAGAGTTAAATATTAAGATAAATTTTGAATGATAAAGAGGATTTAAATAAGGTGAAAAAATTTACTCACTTATTTGGACCCCAGAATATTAGTTGAAAAGGGGGAAACTTTGGGATATGATAGAATATTTGCATTTATAGTACCTTTACTCTAACCTTTCCAAAAAGTTCATTTCTAAACAGGTTATTTTAATTTTTCTCACATTTATGCTTCTGACATTTTCTAAGTACATTACATAAATTCAGTGAATGTCAGTCATTATGATATTGCATACAGTTAAAACAGTACTACCTTCTAGGAATATAATTCAAAATATGTTGACTTGATTGAGGAACAACTTAATGAAGCACTTACTACTTATCGGAAGCCTGTTGATGGTGATAACTATGTTCGCCGGAGTAACCAAAGGTATGGTCCAGTCATTGTAGCAATTCATTATAAACGTCAGATATCAAATTTAAAATCAGCTTGTAATAATAAGTCATTTTTTTGTTTGTTTGTTTGGTTTTGGTACCGGAGATCGAACTCAGGACCTTGGATGTGCTTGCAAGGCAGGCGCAGGAACCACTGAGCTAAATCCCTAGCCCAATAAGTCATTACTTTTTAAAGTTTTCTGAGTGTTCACATACTCTCATACATGATGCAGGAAAAATGTTTGTACATTAATTGCTGGAAAATTCCATTGGGATTCTTAACATGTTAAATATATTTATTGAGGTAGCATTCATGTCTGCACTACTCTCACCTTAATCTACATTTTGGCTCCTATTCCCTTACCAGTACTAAAAGAACTGATACACTATTATTTTTCCAAGGGTATCTCTGTTTTCCTTCCTCTGTATTTTTATTTAGATTGGGAAATTATATCTAATTTTATTTAGTATATTATTAATAGTCATTTTTAATTAGCATGTTTAAAGGAGTCACAGTAACTATCTGAGTCATCTTTATTGCACTAGACTACAGCGTCCTCATGTCTACTTGCCTGTGCACCTTTATGGACAACTGGTACACCACAAAACCGGCTGCCATTTACTAGAAGTTCAGGTAAAAACAATTTGCTTATTTTAAATCACTATGATATCTAAAAAATCTTAATGTTGCAAAAATATTGTTATTGTAAATACTTCTCAAATGCTATAAAAGCAGTGGCATAATTGCTTTTGAAGTCATCTGTCTTGTAATTGCATTAGGCATTCTGTATTTATAATCCTGAGAAATGTCACTGGCTTGTGTGCATTTCCCCATATGAATAGCTAACTGTTGTACAGGGTGAGTCACCCAATATTGGTCTAAGTTATTTCCCATCTAGTTTGTTGGAAAAATCAAAATCTCCTTAAAAACTAAGTTTCTTTCTCTCATTGAAAAATTAAAGTGAACCTGTATCAGGTTCAGTTATCCTCAGTGGGTAACAAGTACTAAAAAACTGCCACTTGTGAGTAATTTGCTGTCATTGTATATTACTATGTGGAATGTACCAGTCATAGATGAATAGTTTGTTCTTTGAATATAGTATGTACACTGCATTTATGGCTATGAATGCAACTAGCTATTTTCAGAAAAATAAATGTAAAAATATTTGTATGAACAATAGTAATCTAACAATTTGGACTCTTATCAGTATTTATCTCAGGAGCCCAAAGTTTTATAGAAATATGTTTTACAGTTTTGTTTTTATATTTATGGAAAAGTGTTGGCAAGATAGCTTCATGTTAACATTTGATAATAAATTCACTAAAAATTTAAATGAGCTTCTTGTTGTCTTTACCTACATAGCATGATAAAATCCAAACCAGGTGTAATGGCACGTGTATGTAATCCCAGTTACTTAGGAGACTGAGACAGGAGGTTCACAAGTTTGAGGACAGCTTGGGCAACTTGGTGAAACCCTATCTCAAAACAAAACTCTAAAAAAAGGATGGGGCTCTAACTCAGTAGTGGAGCACTTACCTAGCATGTGTGAGGCCTGGTTCAATCCCCAGTATCACACATACACAAAAACCACAAAATGATAAAATAATTATGACGTTTTATGATGCTAGTATGAAACTTCATGAGACAGATAGTATTATTATCCCTATTTTAGAGATTAGGAAATCAAGGCATGGAATTTTAAGTAACTTTCAAGACCATACACCTAATAGTAATAACTATAATATAAACTCAGAACCTGTGCATTAATGCTACTCTCTAAGAAATTTTGCAAAAAATTACTTTAGAATTTTAAATGTGCAAAAATGAATAAAAGTAAATCTCAAAATATGTTTAATGGTGGGATAAAAATACATTAAGCACTTAATATATTTTTACTTATATGATTTATTTTTAATTTCTCCAGAATATTATAACAGAACTTTGTCACAACGTTCGTACACCAGATTTGGATAAATGGGAAGAAATTAAAAAATTGAAAGCATCACTTTGGGCCTTGGTTTGTAATAAACATTTATGTGAGATCTTTGCAAGTTTTAGATTTTTTTCGTTTTTCCTTTAATACTAAATAAATTTATTTTATTTTTAACTTATTCTTAGATTAATATTCTAAGACCAGAATTGTTCCTGCCAGTTTAAATATTTTTATGTTGTAGAAATAGATGGTTAAACTATTAATTTTCATGGCTCTTGCGTTTTTGCTAAGACATATAAAACATTAATTTACTGGGAGCATTCCTTATTTGAGGATTTTTTTCATTTTTTGATTCTCATATAGATGGGTTTAAGTTTTTTCACGGTAACTTATCAAATCACTTGAATGACTTACTCATATAAGTTTATTTGATATGTATTTTCTTTCAGGGAAATATTGGCTCCTCAAATTGGGGTCTTAATTTGCTACAGGAAGAAAATGTGATTCCAGACATCCTAAAACTTGCAAAACAGTGTGAAGTTCTTTCCATCAGAGGGTATATCATTTAATCCAGACATTCTTAATCCATATTTTTTATTCACAAGTAGACGTAAAGCAAACATATTTTATAATTCATAACTGTTCTGATGATATAAGATATTTGAATACATGAACTTAACTCTTTGTTTAATATTAGCGTTCCATTTTTATTACAAATTGAAGTTTACAAGTAGGGAAATTGTGCATGTTCAAATAGCCTAATAATTTAATAGCCCAAATATTCAGATTAATATTAGAGAAGCTTATGTATGTATTTTTTTTGCTAAAATCACATTACATTCTTTTATTTTGTTGTAATCGTTAAGTAGATTTGCATGATTTTTATTGCTGCTAATTTATTCGTAAATAATTTTAATAATGTTTTACATAAACAGTTTTTTAATGGCTTTTAAGTAAAAATCAAGTCTCAGCTTGGAATTATAAATGGTCATTACGTTTTTTCTATATAGGACCTGTGTATATGTACTGGGGCTCATAGCCAAAACCAAACAAGGCTGTGATATTCTAAAATGTCACAACTGGGACGCTGTGAGGCATAGTCGCAAACATCCGTGGCCAGTAGTTCCAGATGATGTAGAACAACTCTGTAATGAGCTCTCATCAATCCCAAGCACCCTAAGTTTGAACTCAGAATCAACCAGCTCTAGACATAATAGTGAAAGTGAATCAGCACCATCAAGTAAGTATTGTAATAAGCTTATATAAATTTAGGCAGTGTTGACATTTGAATTTTGTAATTTCAAAACTTAAATATATTTTTTACATTCCTAATGTTTATAATAATAATTTGGCAGAAATTACCTCCTGGAGAATGCTTATCTTTATACAACATAGAGTATAGCCACTATTCTACATTATTTACTGTCCTTACTTTCTAAATAGCTTCTAGAAAATCCTACATTTGCTATATAATAAGTAATGTGCCAACGGAACCAGCTCCCTTTTTGTCACCTAAAAAGAGACAAATCTAAGCATTTATTGTCTACTTTCTACATTTGCTTAATCTTTTTTACTCATTTTTCAGATGTAGAGATTGTTGATCCAGAATATATTTGCTAAGAGGTATTATAATCATGTCTTCATTTTTGAGCACAGTACTAAATTTTAAAATAGTGGAGGGTTTATGGATACAGATTATTAGTCTTAGACCATTAATCTAAGTAGAAGACTCCTTGCCTGGCATGTATGCCTAGCATGCCTACCATGAATTTCATTCCCAGCAAAGTACAAACATACACACACACACACGCACACACACAAAAACAAAAACAGTGGAATTGTTAAAAGACTATCAGAAATCAATTATATATAAGCAGTTTATATATAAGCCCTCTGCTAAGTGATATTAAGTGTACAAAATTTAAGATATTCTTTTAGGAAGATAATGCAACATTTATTAAACCATGTTTTATCCAATCTAAGAATTATAAGATGTACTGATACATTATGTACTACTAAGAAGAAAAAAAAGGATGCCTATTAAATGCATACCCCCAATAACAAGGTACAGCTCGACTTTAGAGAGACTGAATGCAAAAAGGCATCTTAGAATGGAAAACATTTAGAAATACAAATTTACAAGTTCATTTAGGATTTTACTTTGTCTTCTTTAGAAATATATTGGAAGAAGTTTATAATTCAACAGAAAAGTTAAAATAAACTGTATAGATGTCATTAAACACTGAGGCTGAGTTATTTATTAGATTTGGGCAGTGAATTCAGATAAGTTTCTTAGTACTTAATGCAAAATGGAATGTAAACATAATTATTTTAAATGGGTTGTGACTTGGTTCTCTGTAAATATAGTCATTCCTCCATATCTCTGGGGATCCAGCACCCCTTGTAGATGCTGAAATCTATAGATACTCAAGTCGCTTATATAAAAGGATACACTTTCTGCATATAACCTACTGATAGCTTCTTGTGTTTTTTATATCATCTTTTACATTACTTATACCTAATGCAAAATAAATATGTAAATAAGTGTTATACTCTGTTGTTTAAAGATATTCATATTTAAGGAATAATGACAAAAAATGTGTATATATTTAGTATAATTACTTATTTTTCCTGAATATTTTTGACCCACAGGTAGTTTGTCCATATTGGCAGAACTCACAGATACAAAGGGCCAGTTATATATTTTACAGTTTGGGAATTCACATCTTATAAGACGAATTTTTTCTGCTATTACTGTGTAAAGTAATCTGTACCAACCGAACGAGCATCTATGCTCAAGTCTCCTTTTTCTTTTTAATTTCATCCCGAATATTTGAAAAAAATCAAAAGAAACTTCATGTAAGCTGTTCCATAATGTGTCAATAATTTTTCTTTGGAAATAACAAGATATCTTCATAATGACATAATTTTGTATTTTATTCAAGTCTAAACTCTAGGTCTCAAGGAATTGCTTTTTATATAGCTCAGTGGTTTGACCTTTTATTTTTAAATTATTATCCTTCAGATGATTATTTAAAGTTTTTTTTTTAATTTTCCTGAAATGTGATGTCACTAATAGTTGTCATGAATTTTTCATTTTTTATGTATTTTAATTAATGATCCTTCAATTACAGGTATGTTCATAATGGAGGATGACCGGTTTGGTAGCAGCTCAACTAGTACATTTTTCCTTGATATCAGTGAAGATGCAGAGCCATCATTTTTTGACCGACCTGGGCCTATAAAGGATAAGAATTCATTTCCTTTCTTTGCTTCTAGTAAACTTGTGAAGAATCGCATCTTAAATTCACTTACTTTGCCTAATAAAAAACATCGTAGCAGCAGTGATCCAAAAGGAGGAAAACTGTCATCTGAAAATAAGACAAACAACAGGCGAATTAGAACACTTACGGAGCCCAGCGTAGACTTTGATCATAGTGATGATTTCACACCTATATCCACAGTACAGAAAACATTACAATTAGAAACTTCATTTGTTGGGAATAAGCACATTGAAGACACCGGTAGTACCCCAAGTATTGGAGAGAATGACTTAAAATTCACCAAAAGTTTTGGTACAGAGAATCACAGAGAAAACACAAGCCGAGAAAGGTTAGTTGTAGAAAGTTCCACAAGTTCACATATGAAGATACGTAGCCAAAGTTTTAATACAGACACTACAACAAGTGGCATAAGTTCAATGAGCTCAAGTCCTTCACGAGAGACAGGTGTAGATGCTACGATTATTGACACAGACTGTGGAAGTATGAGTACTGTGGTAAGTACTAAAACTGTTAAGACAAGCCACCATTTGACACCACAGTCTAACCATCTGTCTCTCTCCAAATCAAATTCAGTGTCCCTGGTGCCTCCAGGTTCTTCTCACACACTTCCTAGAAGAGCACAGTCCCTTAAAGCACCCTCTATTGCTACAATTAAAAGTCTAGCAGACTGTAACTTTAGTTACACAAGTTCTAGAGATGCCTTTGGCTACGCTACATTGAAAAGATTACAGCAGCAAAGAATGCATCCATCCTTATCTCACTCTGAAGCTCTGGCATCACCAGCAAAAGATGTGCTATTTACTGATACCATCACCATGAAGGCCAACAGTTTTGAGTCCAGATTAACACCAAGCAGGTGAGCAAATATATATTTAAAATTGAAAGTAATGGTTTTATTTTAACAGATTTAAATATAAAACATTAGTCAGGTTTAACACTACATAAGCCTTAGAACCCATCTATTAATAATTGTTTATTAGAGTAAGGCTATAAGCTCTTTGTTACCCGATATGATTTGAAATGGATTCTTGCAGCTGCGAGGGGGGAAAGCAAAACTCCTTTAGGTCCTGAAAATAAACATACATGCTTTGCAAGAATACACAAGTCACAAGCTTTTTTTATTTCTCGCTTCTGCAAGGATCGATTTTAAAAAGAAGTATGTCGGGGGGATCAGGAGCTTAAGACCTACAATAACAAACAACCTTTTCAGGTAGGTCAATTTAAGGCTCCAAAAGTTGACCTTTTTTTATTATTATTTTTGTAATAACTGAAAATTTCAGTTAAATTATTTCCAGTTTAAGTATATGTAATTAAATAGGAACCAGATAAACACTAAATGAATTAACTGTTCCTCAAAACTCAGTAGGAATTTCTATATTTATTTAGATTATATCAAACTGTTCTCTGTAAAAATTTAGATCTTACCTTTAAATGGGGTGCCATATTAAATTTGATTGTTGCAGAAATTTCCATACCCATGTTTTTGTTGTTGGGTTGAAACTTTCTTTAGTTTTAAATTATTCACTTATATTTATTTAAATGGAGTATCATACGTCAAGTCCTTAGAATAAGACCCAAACATTAGCTAGTATTATCCCCATTGTCATCATTGATAGTTTTTTTTTATGAAATTTGTCTGTCTCTTATGTTAAATTCTTAATAACATTAAACATTAAACATTGTTTCATTGACACATTTAATAGAGGGATTGCTGATAACATAATGGGTTTTGTCCCCTCTTGTAGAATTTAATAAATTATGTAATATCTTAACTGAAACTCACTAGCTTTGATACTCTCATCATTCCAGAGCAAAGCCAGGTATATCTCAACAGTTCATGGTTATAAGTTTATGTAATATAGTTTATGAATTTTTAATTCCTGGGCCTCACTTTGCTCATGTAGTAGAGACTGAACTAGATGAGTGATTTTAAGCTTCTATATAGTTGCTTTTAAATGGAGTAACTTCTTCACAAAAAGATTTTTATGAAAACTTAATATGTAGAGTACAGAAAAATGGAGCTACAGTGGTTAAAATAGGAATTGGGAAAGAGAATAATCCAGTAATTCTTTCCCTCTACTCAATAACCCTTGATGAGTTAATGGAGCCAGAGAAGTGTAACAGTGTAATTTGAAAGCCTCTGGGCTCTTTTATGAAATTGAAACTTTCAGCTTCATTTTATGAATATGAAACTCAGTTAAGGTGTTTTTGGTGGAAATTAGGATTTTTTTTTTCTTTGTTAATCTTAATAGCCACTATCATTGAAGCATTTATTTTAGTTGGTGAAATAGTTCTTTCATTAATACATGTATACACACACACTGACAAAAAATGTATACATCAGGAAAAGAAAAACTTGTATACTTCAATACTACATTTATTGAGACACCATGAGAGGACCTTTGTCCTCTACAATTAGAAGAGATGCTCAAAGTGGTGGTCATTAGCTGCCGGACATTTATTGGTAAGGTGAACAGCTGAAGTGTGTTTATGTATTTTTTGGCAGCTTCTCTGTCTCTCTCTGACACTCATATCCAAAGATACGAACTTTGGATAGAGCTCTCTCTGTATAAAGCAGATACCAATTAAGTATTGCACGTATCTATTGCATGAATAAAGATCTTTATGACAGAAGTGTTATAAAATGTCAGTATATGGTATTTATTATAGAATCACAAATAAGTAATGAATCATAGAAATACTAGACATATCAGTGCTACATATATATATATAAGGCTATCTCTTGTAATACTTACAAATTGTGTGATTTTACTATATTATGTATGCCTTCTGTGTTACATAAATTTTACATTGATAGTTAAAGCATTAATTACCACACAAAGAATCAGAAATTGATCTTATTTTTCATAAATGTAATATTAAATTATGTTAATAAACATATCCTTATTTGTATGACAGCATATCCAGTTTGCAAAGATAGTTCCCAAACTGTACCTCTGTCTAGGTCAGTTTATTTATTTATAGAAGTTGAGGTTACTGTAATTGCCTACCATTGCATCTTTACCTGAGAGATCATACCTGTTGTTTTTGGTAGCAATCAGTATTACTGGTAACCTTTTCAATATACATATCAATCTAGAGCAGGTAATGTTTTAAAGTGTTTATATGTTCCCAGTAAACAAGATGACACAGCTTAGCATTTCCCTGGTCACTTTTCTGAAGATAGGAATCTAAGTTTTTTTTTAATATGGTTCATATTACAAATCAAGAAACTAATGCAAGTTTCATTGTGGTATTATAGGTTCATGAAAGCTTTAAGTTATGCATCATTAGATAAAGAAGATTTGTTGAGTCCCATTAATCAAAATACCCTGCAGAGATCCTCCTCAGTTAGGTCAATGGTGTCCAGTGCTACATATGGTGGCTCAGATGACTACATTGGCCTTGCTCTTCCTGTAGACATCAATGATATATTCCAGGTATCATCATAACTTTTGTTTCCTTCTTAATTAGCTCCTTGCTTTTTTAATATTCTATTACTGTTTACTAGAAATTATAATCTACAGAGGGCACTGTGGAGAAGATGAATTTTTTTGAGGCAGTTTTATCTAAAGAAATTTTTAAGATGAAAACTTACCTTTCTCAGATATTTTATACTTTTACTTAGTACCTGCAGATTTCAAGAACATTATCTTCTCTCTTCCCTTACTCAGTTATCTATTTGTTTGGTTTATTTATCGCTGTATTCTCTAGAAATATAGTAGATTCCCTACCTTGTTTTGTTGTTTCATGTGACTGACTTCTTGTTTTTGATCCTATTTTCCCCATCTAGCATGCGCCACAGGTGATGTCCAATTGTATAAAGTGGTCTCAGCCCCATGAGACACTTACAGATCTCTAGATGGTATATAGTAGTACCAAAGGATACACATTTACTCAGCAATCTAAAGACATTTTAGATAAATGCTAAAATAGTTACTTGACTATGTAGCTCACCAAGAATACAATAAAAGACTTCTAGTGTTGTTATTTTCTCAAGTATTGATAATTTAGCCTTTTGTAAATTTTTTATTGTAGGCTCATATGCAATAGTAATTGTTTCAATTATATTTCTCTTTATGTTCTTGATATTTATAAAGTAGACTTTTTGTAACATGATTTACCATGATTTATATCTATTTTAGGTAAAGGATATTCCTTATTTTCAGACAAAAGACGTGCCTCCACAAGAGGATCACAGTACAAAAGTGTTTGTCTATGACACAGGAGGTAATACGTGGTCTTTGTTCTGATGAGACTCCTCTTTATATTAAAAATAAAATTCTTCTTTTTAGTAGATTGGCACTAACAATTCAGACACAGCCACTTTGGGTTAATTTAAAAATTATTCCAAAATAACTGAGTCAATTTAAAATTAAACAATGATTTCTTTACTGCTTTAAAAATTTTATTAGTACATATGCACTTCTTAATTCTTTTTACTTTTCCTTCCCCTCCCTTTATCCTCCCCCCATTTCTTTTAAGGGTTTAAAGGGTTTTTTTTTTAGCTAAGTACCCAGTCTCAAGAAGATATAAATCAGATTAGTAGTTTCTCTTTCTAAAAAGTAGTGATGAAAAATTTATTGCACGTGGCCTCATAGGTCCATAGGAAATAGCTATTTGAGGGTGAGGAGAGATATAAAAATGTCCCTATAAATTACATGGTCTTTCTTTGTTATGAACTGTTATGTTTTAATGTTTGCATGCATATGAGCCACATGTTTTACAGCTTCATAATCTGAATTTTTTTAAACAACTACCTCCTTATACTTAGAATTATTGCTTTTCTTTAGGCAAAAGTTTTTTGAGACAGTGTGTCCCTATGGCCTTGAATTTACTATGTAGCCCAGGCTGGTCTTGAACTGAGTGATCCTCTTGCCTCAGCCTTCTAAGTGCTAGGATTATAGGCATGCACCATCACACTTTGCTACTTGAGGCAAATATTGAGGATAGTTGAAATAATATATTAATGATCTCATTTTAAAATTTTATATTTAAAATTCCATATTAAGATAATATAAAGTACAGGTTTCAGTTAGTTTCATAATTTAAAGCAAATTTTTTTTTTTCCTTCCCTGTTAGATGTTGAGTCATAAAAAAGTTCTGGTTTTCTTCTATAGATTCCTTTCTTTAAAATTTTATAGTTTAATGCACCTTGAAAGAGGTATCAATTGATACAGTATTTATTGGATTATGTTTTGTATTTACTTACGCACAGGTCTTCCATCTGGAACTGGAGGTCTTGTTAAAAACTCTTTTCACTTGCTACGACAGCAGATGAGTCTTACTGAAATAATGAATTCAATCCATTCAGATGCTTCTTTATTTTTAGAAAGTACAGAAGACACTGGATTGCAAGAGCATACAGATGATAACTGCCTTTATTGTGTTTGTATTGAAATTCTGGGTTTCCAGCCCAGTAACCAACTAAGTGCAATATGTAGTCATTCAGGTGAGTGATTATGTTCTTTGAGATTAATCCTTCTAAATTTGAATCTGTTACTATGAAAAGTCATCTGTCAGCCCTGTTGATCACTCCTTTTTATTCCATTGTCACCAGTTCAGACTTTGTTCATATCATTAAGCATCTCCCTATTGAAGCGTTAGTATTTTAACCTCTAGTTTTATCGCCTTCCAACTCATTTTTCAAAGTATTGCCTAGGATTAATCTGTTTTTTCCATACTGGCTGTTTATGCCAACATATAAGACTCTTTGTGATCTGTCTAGTAGTGGTTTTTTGGGTTGTTTTTTTTATCATTCTCCTCTCATACTACTACTGAATGACCTGAAGTTTTAAACAACTTTTAGGCATGAAAAATGTGTTTTTCCTGCTGTTCTTTCTTTATCTCTCCCCTTTGCCACAAAGATGCAAGTTCACACAGAGATCTACATGGTCCATCTGGCAGGTCCATCTCATCCTAAGTGTCAACAGTATCTTATCTGCAACATTTTCTGACTCTGAGTCAGGTGTTGATAATCTTTCCTTTTTCCTCTCATTGCCTTTGTACATAAATCTCTTAAGATAATGATAGCTATTGTTACTTGGTTATTCTTTTCCCTTCCACTCAGTAATTCCTTTAGGGCATGAGCTATCATTTCTCATTTGTATATTTCTAATACCTGACTTTGTGCTAGTTTTTACCATAGACTCTCAGTCTGTATTTAGGGAATAAGTAAATAAAGTGGACCCTGATTGAAGTTTTTTTCAGGTATGAATCAACATACAGTAATACCTTGGTTCACGAATGCTTCTGTTTGCAAACAGTTCAGTTCTCCAAAAAAATTTTACTTCCATTGACAAACTCCACATTGGGTGACAAACACAACTGTGGCCATCTTCCCTAAAATTGTAAATCAAATTAAGTTCATGAACTGAGATACCACCATATTTAGTAGTTTGAAATACTTAGTGAAGTGAAAATCACTTGGCCACCCTCAGTAAAACCAAGTGATGACCATAATTCTCTGCTTCGTTTTTCGAATTTCTCTTTGATAATTCAGTGCTTCCCAACTGATGGATTGCAACACACTAATAAGCTACAGAGAGGATAAAATTATGCTGAGATATTGATCCCCTAATGGTTCCATGTGTTTGACAAATCAGTGGACTGGGCACTTCATACCATGAATATCCCTGGCCAGGGCACTGACATGCATTCTGCATTTGATTATGTTCTGTTACTACTTATTTATAGTTATTTTCCATGCTTTGAGAAAGTATTTGTTAGACGAATTGCGCACAGTAGAAAAGCTGCTATTTTTTTTTTGAGCTTTGTCCAATGAGGAAAGAAACGGATAGATGGATGGATGAATGCTGCAGATAGAATGCTGGATTTATAACAAGTACCACTAAATACATGATACTAGCTAAAGAATAGAACTAAATAGATCAAGGAAGAGATTTCTGAAGAATTTACTGCTGAGCTGTGATTTAAAGAATGAGCAGAAGCTAAGACTGGAATAAAGAACACTTCAGACAGAGGAAACAACATGAACAAAGGTTCTTTGATGGAAGCGAAATGCACCTGTGCGAATAGACCTTAAAAGACAAGGGGAAAGGAGATAAAAGAAGACAAGTACAAGAAGATAGGTAGGTAGAGACCCAGTAGAGTCCTTGCTATACAAAGTGTGGACAGTGGATTAACAGTATCAGTGCTGCCTTGAGAGAGTATGAGAAATGCAGGATCTGAAGCTTCTCATGCTTACAAAAACAGAATTTGCATTTTCACAAGACTATCAATTTGATATGCATACTAAAGTTTGAGAGTACTGCAGCAGGTCCTAATAAGGATTTTGTGTAAGAAAGAAGACGTCTTTATTATCTGTGACAGATTAAAAGCTAATTCTTTTCTCTAATGATTATTTTAAAGGGATGTCAGGTCCTGAATAGAGGAGATTTCATGCTTCAAAAATTCTAAGCTGATAGTCATAGTAGATAAAAAATGATAAACCTCAGTTCTGGCAGAGCAGTGAGGCAATAGGAAGAAATAAAGGGCATTCACATTGAAAAAGAAGAAGTCAGTGTCACTGTTTACAGATAACATGATCTCATATGTATAAAAAGCTATTCAAACTAACGAATTCAGCAGAGTTGCAGGATATAAAATCAACATACAAAAATCAGTAGTGCTTCTATCCACCAATAGTGATTTTTTTGCAAAAAGAAATTAAGAAGGCAGTCTCATTTATAAGTTAACAAAATGACATCAGACTCTAATAATAAATTTAATCATAGAGATTAAGTATCTCCACAATCAGAATTATAAAACATTAATGAAAAATTGAGTTCACACAGAAAAGGAAAAACATTCCATGTTTGTGTTGGAAGAGGCAGTATTGTAAAAATGTCCATATTACCCAGGGTGATCTGGTGAGTCAGTGCAGTTTCTTCCAAAATAACATTGACATTCTGCACAAAACTAGGAAAAACAATCCTAAAATTCATTGTATGTGTGTGTTTTGGTACTGGGATCAAACTTGGAACCTTGCTCTTGTGAGGCAGGTGTGGCACCACTGAGGTAAATCCCCAGCAATCCTAAAATTCATATGGAAACACACAAAAAAAGCCCTATATAACCAAAACTATCTTGAACAGAAAGAACAAAGCAGGAGGAAACAGAAATTCCTGATTTTAAAATCTACAAAGCTATAGTAATCAAAAAAGAATGATTTTGACATAAAAACAGCCACGTAGACCATTGGAACAGAATAAAGAGCATAGAAGTAAAACCCATGCATACACAGCATTCAATATTTGACAGAGGCCAAAAGGACTTACAGAAGAGAAGAGAGTCTCTTCAATAAAAGTTGGATTTGCCTATTCAGAAGAATGAAACTGACCTCTGTCCCTCACCAGTTATAAAAATCAGTTCAGAATGTAAGACCCGAAACTACCAGAAGAAAACAGAAAACGCTTCAACGTATTGAAGTAGACAAGGATTTAAATAAGTATTTTCCAAATGAAGATATAAAAAGGACCAGCTGCAAACCAAAACCACAATGAACTGTCACCTCATATTGGTTAGAATGACCATTATCAAAATGACAAAGGATAACATGCTATTGAGGATGTGGAGAAAAGGGAACCCTTACACAGTATGTTGTATTGTAAATAAAGTAGTATAGCCATTATGGAAAACTGTGGAGGTTTCTCAAAAATTTAAAGTAGAACTACCCATATGATCTAGCCGTACCATTGCTGGGTATATGGCAGTGGAATCAGTATATTGAAGAGGCATCTGAATTCCATGTGAATTGCAGCACTATTCACAGTAGCCAAGAATTAGAATCAATCTAAATGTCCAGCTGGTGATTGGAAAAGAAAAATGTGGTACTTACACACAGTGAAGTACACTTCAGTCATAAAAAGGATAAAATTCTGTTATTTGCAACAACATGGATAGACTCTTAGAGATCATTATATTAAATGAAATAAGCCAGATATACAAAGACAAATATTGTATGATCTCATTCATGTGGGATCCAAAGGGGTTGCTCTTAGAGAATTGAGAGTAAAATAGTGGTTGTGAAAGGCTGGGATGAGAAATGGGGAGGAAGGGATATGTAAAAGTTGATCAAGGGGTACTCATTTATAGTTAGGTGAAATAAGTTCTGGTATTCTATTGAACAATGGAGTAACTATATAGCAGTAATGTACTATGTATTTTCAAAAGGCTGGAAGAAAGGATTTTAGATGTGTTCTCCATGTTGAAATGATAAATGCTGAGGGAGATAGATGTTTACCCTGATACAAACATTGCATATATATATAATATACAATTAAACATCACATGGTATCCAATAAATACGTACAATTATCTGTTATTTTAAAAAGTAATTAAAAATGTTAAACTCAAAAGAACTTGGGTTAAGATAATTAGCAATGCATTTTGTTTTTTCTCTGATTAAATTTTTTCCATTTTTTAATTTTTTATTAGTACATGTTTGTGGTACGTAATACATTCCTTGTGTGGAGTTGATACATGTACATAACACATCTTAATTTTTGTGTCATCCTCTCTCCCTCTTTCCTGTAACTCTTGATCCCCTTCTCATGTGAGAAAGATTGATCTTCCTGCTTCCTGTTATCTGTTTTATTTTGCTCTTTATATTTTAGGTTTCTCACATAAGAGAAACCATACAATATTTAAGCTTGTGGGTCTGATTTATTTTACTTAATATTATGGTCTCAAGGGACATCTATTTTTCTACGAATATCTCAAGTTTATTTTTCTTTATGACAGAGTAGTACTCCATTGTCTGTAAATACCACATTTTCTTTATCCATTCATCAGTTACTGGCCATGTAGGCCATTTCTAAGATTAAGCTGTTATGAACTGTGCTGATATAAATATTGGTATGCATGTATCACTGTAATGTGTCTCTAACTCTTTCATGAAAATATCTAGTAGGGGAATAGCTGGATCAAATGGAATTTCTATTTTTAGTTATTTGAAGAATTTCCATATGGGTTTCCATAGTATAGAAGCCTTCCTTTTTCCCAGCAGTCTTTCCAGCATTTGTTATTATTTGATTCTTGTGTTTTTTTGGTACCGGGGGTCGAACTCGGGTCCTTGCGCTTGCATAGCAGGCGTCGAAACCACTGAGCTAAATCCCCGGCCCTATTATTTGATTCTTGATGATAGCCTTTCTTTCTGAAGTAAGACGGAATCTCAGTGTTGATTTAATTTGCATTTCTCAAAATGGCCAGCAGTGTTGAACATTTCTTTTTTTTTTTTTCCAGTTCTTTATATATTGTAGATATTAGTCCTCTGTCTGAGGGATGTAGCAGGATATAAAATTAGTAAACAGAAGTTAGTAGCATTCCTATACACCAATAATGAACTCACTGAGAAAGAAATTAGAAAAAATTACTGTTCACAATAGCATCAATAAAAATTACTTAGGAATTAACCAAGAAAGTGAATTATCTCTAAAATGAAAACTACAG